GGGGGGGGGGGGGTCCAGCGTCATGCCCCCGTGCGCGCTTTGACCCCGGGAATGGATCCACGACATGCACGGATTAGGTGGCTGGTGGACCCCACAGCCGGTCAGGACTCGGAGGTTAGAAGAAAATTTCTTTGTCTCTATTATATCGAATAAATTAGCCTGTTGATGTTGATGAAAATTAAAAGTTACCTACAGTTCTGTGGAGCTTTGCATATGAGCTCTTAGTGTTAGGAGAATAAGTTATGGATCATTATTCTGGATTTAATCATGCGAAAAATGAGTATGACAGAGACGACAATACTGAGTTTTTGTCAGAAAGATATGAGGGATAAAATGTCCGATCATAAACTTAACGCTGATATTATAAAACTGGGTAAAACACATCAGGGTACATGCGGGTAATGACGCCCGGTAAGAAAGAGTTCGTTGTCGATTTTGGTAATTACTTTTCCATTTAACCACAAGAGTGCAGCACCTCTTAATTAGCTTCGGTGGTGGTGCAGGAACTGCTAATTGGCGATAGTGTTCGGTTTAAGACGTCAAAAAGTAGACCTTCTAACTTTACGTTTCTTTTTGTAAGAATTTATCAGCCCACTGTCGGCTGTCCGCAACTGCTGCCCTCGATGTCGAGAGACAGTCTTCTCCTTTTGCAAACTGAGGACGCCACATGACGTGATGAAATGGGACCCGCTCAGAGCGGAACGTAAATTAATATTACTATAAAAGATTGTGAGAACAATTAGTATAACTTGTGTTGGGCAAGGCCGTGGTCTAGGCAACACGGAGTTTTCCTCCGTGGCATCCCAACAATTACTCCATTCACACACAGAAGAAGGCAAGGGCAAACCACTTCTGGATCATCTGCCAAGAACGCATATGAACAGGTCCCAGTCCGAGAAAAGGACGGAAGGATCCTGTTCATATGGACCTGTCATCAGACAGAATGGCAAACCACTTTTGGATCATCTGCCAAGAACGTATATGAACAGGTCCCAGTCCGAGAAAAGGATGGAAGGATCCTGTTCATATGGACCTGTCGTCAGACAGAACACTAAATAAATAATAAATAAAACAAACTGGATGTTGACGCGACAATATCCTGTACATTGCTGGCCTTTGTATAAACACCCGAATATATCTAAACGCAGTTAGGGTAATTTCGCGTAATTTTCAACTGTAATTAATTTCTTATGCTGTGCAGAATATGAGTCGTTGAAGCTTCAATGCAAAGTTGTATAAATACGCAACGTACGTAAAGTGAAAAGTAGTCTAAGTGTTTTGTGACCGACATTACCGTCTTTAAGACTCCTGGAGGGTCTAGAGAAAACCACGAAATAGCATCAGTATTTGTGCCAAATAGATAGAAGTAATCTTTTTTCTCATGCAAGTTTCTGTCTATAAAAGAATATTTTTGAGCGTCGACTGGTAAGCGTGCTTTGTGTCAAAGTAGATGATTTGTGTTTTGTTCCCGGGAGGAACTTGCAGTCTTCGGTTCGAAGATATGCACAGCGAAAATCGGTCTGCTTTATCCTGCAGCTTATTAGGAAAGTCCATTCCATTTTATTTCTGATTTTTGTTCGAAGGAAAGTTAGTATGATTCACGTTACGCTAAACAGAAGGATATGTTTTTTATTACCATTTAATTTTGAAAGGAGTCTAATGAGGTCTAGAAGGAGACGATTAGACAGGAGTGCCATGTCACGCCACGGACATCGGCTAAACAATTGACGGTGTCGCCGCGCACGACTGCTTCGCGGTTTTGTGTTCTCGGGTCACGGCTCGTGTTGATCAAACAGGAGAGCGTCTCGTCTCGTTTACTCGAGGCGGCACTTTTAAGACAAGGCTCAGGGTTAATTGAAGAGAGCTTGGTCACTCCGCGTGGTTCTTGTGTTATTTAACGACGTATAATCAGGCGTCATGTTTTGGAGGATTAAAATAAACAACAGAATATATTCACTTTTTATTCGGGGGGTGGGGGGGGGCTGCTCATTGCCGCGTTTACAAGACCTCGCCACTACCATCATCCTGATCCAGAGATGAAATACTAAGATCGAGTTTGTATTAAACATTTTGTAACACGTAAATTCCTACGAGGTGAGTTTGTTCGTCGCTTACGAAGTCCGTAATGTGGATCACCGTTTGTCCGCGACTGTTTATCTAGTACCCTCCAAATCTAGAGGTCGTCGACTCCATCAGAACCTAAGGACGCGCCCATATCAACAGCACTGTAGATAAAAATATGTTATTCAGGGGGTAAAATAGCAAAATTTCGGTTTTTAGACGAACGCAAGTCTTTTGCATAATAACAGGTACTCAGTAAATGAATGAATTTGTCAACGTCGTGATCTATACGTATATTTCAGACTTTATAGCCCAGTCTGAACCTTTGTATTTTCTGGAGAGATTTTCTAATTCTTCACGACATTTCGTAGGACTCCTTGGACCGGTCAAACAAAGAAAAGATTGAGGCTTCGATCGTGCTTCCGTTAGGAGTTAAACTTCCGTGTTCCGAAAACCTTGGCAAGTACAGATCTGTTCATCTTACACTAGAAATTTAGTTGAGCATGCAAGGAATTTTGGTGAAAATTTTCCTTGGAAGCGATTAAGACCTTTTGATGGACGAGATGAAAATAAATTAGTTGCGTTTAATGTAGATTTATTATATCGACAGAGAAGATTAATTGCCCTGTGTCAAACATTCTTCTTATTCTCCTAATTGCACATTTAATCGTAGAATTACCACTGAATAGAAAACATGCTTCGGGAAAAAGAACTAGACTTACTTTAGGCATATGTGATATTCTGTAATTCAGAATGAGACAGATTCAAAATTTGTATATAGAAATGTTGGCTTCTTCTTGAAAGCAGTGATTTTTTTTACTAAGTCATTAACGTTCTGCTTTATAATATGTTATCATCAATAGTCGGTATTTTGACTATTTTGGTGTGTTCTAACAATGTTTATTTTTTCTCACGACGCCAAGAAATTATCGATTTTAAAGTTTTCTTCTGAATTTATCTCAGTACGTAGTAAAATAAACACGTGATTCTTTTTTCTGTTGCACGAAAAATAAATTTGTAATTTCGTCACAAGTTACGGGAGTGGTTCAGTGACTGCAATGGAAATAATAGGACGGAGGACGTCCGATGCCGCTTGGCGTTACTGACCTCTCTGAAGCAGAACGCTGCTGTGGGGATTTCGATTCTTTGTACTGAGCGACGAGCAGTTCCAGCGATGCCACTGGAATTGGTACTGGCACTCGTCCACTGCGAGTTGCAGCCCCTGAATAGCGGACGCCGTGACGTCTGGATAACGGCGACACAGGTCCAACTGCTCCTTGCTGAGTCCTGGGAATGTCTTGCACACTGTGCCAGTGGCCACCAGCAAGCCTTGCTCCAGATCTGCACTGCTAACCCTGCACAACACGCAAACCTCACTCATTCCATTGGCTCATAAATGATGCAGAACATCTGATTTTCTTTGTGTACAAAACATTTGAACATCTCAAGCAAGTGACGAGGGGTGAGGGGTGAGGGGATGCCAGTCCCTTCCTCCAAGCCAACTTCAGCCCTGAGGAAAGACACAGCATCTATCTCCGAAACGTTAACGTCTACGTATGAGTCTACCCGACGCCAAAATCAAGACGAACCACATCATGATTAACAATACGCCTTTTTTTTGTTATTAATTAAATATGCCATAGAAACATTAAAAACACTATAGAAATTTATGTTCTATACTTAGTTGTTGAAATTTTTTACTTAAAGACGATGATATGAACATTATTTTAGTGACGGAAAAGTTTATTCGATAAGTTTTGAGAACGTAATCGACAAATTACTATATAACCCTAAAATATACTTCAGAATCTGCCAGTAAGTTCACCTATTATTCAGGCGGTCGAGGTAATTCATTATCACGAGAGGCTTCTAGTGACTTAAGGGGGGGGGGGGGGGGGGGGGGTGCAGCTTTGGGTACCCGGAAGGGTCTAGGCGTCTACTAAGATTATTGCATGTTAATTTACTTAAAGCTGTCGTATGTGAGAACGCTGTCAGGGTTTTAAAATCGCAATTTCATTCAATTAGCATTAACAAGTAATGGATGAGTTCAAAACAAACTGGGACAACGAATGTATTAATCGAAGAAATGTATCGTGGTCTGTTTTATGATGGCTTCCAGTTAGTCGTCTAAAATAACTGAGGAAAACCAAAAATGTTATCAGTCACGATAACCAAACTCCTGACATATTGTCCTGCGGAAAAAACGAAAATTCGAAACAGGTTTGCCAACTACTAAATCATTAAATTAGGTAAGATTTTGTTCAGATCCTAGCGATATTTAATGCGAGGAGGCGACGCCAAGGCTACAAATTAGACTTATGAATCCGAAAGCCTCCTTCAGAAGATGATAGTCGTTTACCTGGTAAATAAATTAAAATGTTCATTATCGTGTACACTGGTCCACACCCAGATTCGGATTATCTCAGTTCAAGCCATCAGATCATGTTACTCTCACGAAAATCTTTAAATATCTTCCTCCCCTCTCCCCTTCGGCTCCTGAAGTGATCTCTCCCCTTCACGTCCTCCGACTGAAAAAGCTTGTATAAATTTTTCTTATCTATCCCATGCGTGCCACATACCCCGCCCATCTCATTCAAAGATATTACGCATTCCGTGAAAACACCTCGCGTCTTTAATATGTTGACATTGTCGGGATAAACCGAAGGTGTGGTAATTAATTAGCCCAGAGCTACGCAGGACTGGACAGGTCTTAATGTTTCACATAACGTAAAATGTTAAAAGCTTCTTTTGAAATTCGTGGGAAAGTTTAGAGATCTTCATTCCCAAATATTGCCGAGCGGAGTGCCCCGACTCCAGATCGCCTTCCAGCCTTTAGTGAGCCTTGTAAATATAAGTGCGTAGTGCATGCCTGGTCCACTGAACCCACATAATTAAAGATAAAATCTTCCTTTCCTTTTTCCCGTCAGCCTCTGCGTAATCGGGGTCCATTTTCTTGTCTCAATAAAACATAAGGTTCCAGCCATTCGTTGATGTCGCTTGTTGAATATCTCTGCTGTAATTTATCCAAGCCTATAAGGTTTCCAGGTGGACCAGACGGTAAAGTACGAGGCTTTAAATTATGTACCGGATTGTGCGCTGAAGAATTCTATAACAAGACAACACCAGCAGAACACGTATTTGTTTTAGTGTGTTATGCGACGCGAGATCGAGCAATTACGCCGTGATTTGTGTTCGGCCATCACGTGAGAAGCGATGGACAGGGCCTGTAGAACACGATATTCCTCTTAAGACTAGTCCAACATTTATGGACCTACTACATCTTTCTAAAAATGGTAGAAATTTTACACATTTCTGAACTGTATGCTGGATTGTTAGCGTAAAAAATACAATCTTTCTTTCGCTACCTGTGTGCTAAAACTTGAGAGACTCGATCCATCATTCGATTTATTTATTATAGTTTTTGTTGTCCGAGATTTCGTTTGTTTGAAATTTAAGATTTCCTTTTTTTTTGTAGAGATTTTTATAAATTTCATTTCTACTCGTTACTATTTAGACTAATAATTTCTCTCTCTAAATTATATCGGAGAAATATTTGTGTTGTTATTATTAATACTGGATCATTTATTTCATTTAATCGAATTTCGTCCGGGAGAAACAGTCGACTCATATAAATAAGCAACATGTCTCCCGGATTGTTAAGGAACGAAACACATGTCAGAGTGAATGTATCTGAAACTGTCTTTGAGCGTGTAGTGGAAAAATGTTTTTAACTATTTTCGGCTGAAGATGACTTAGCCGTGCTGTTGTAAGAGGTTGTCACTTAAGTAACCATTCCGCACCGAGGTCACTCCACCTCTCGAATTTCTGAACAGAACAGAACAGGTTACTTACGGCCTGCCAGATTCCCTTAGCTCGTAATTTGAATGTGCGTTACCATGAATTGTCATAGGTCGGACTGGACCATCAGACAGGTCCCTGCTTGAGTACCAGCCTCACGTCCTCTCAAGAGACGAGGCGATGTCGCTCTGCCCTCTTAACTTACATTCCACAGACATTCTTTGTACACGTTTGCATTTTTATTCTGTTGTGATCCGGAATGTCTGCATGTTAAACGTTTTGAGACGAGGCGTGAGAAACTACTTTTGAGAAAAAGCTACCGAGCTGATTCTTTTATTACGAAATTGTCTATTTTCATTTCACTTGGGAGCCCTGACACCACAGCATGGCGTGCCCCCGGGTTACGGACGGAGTTGAAGGGACTCCCGAATACAGATGCAGGCTCCAAATATATAGACAAAACGTCGCGGATAGCCGACAAGGGGTGGTTATTCAGCCTGCGGGTTGAGCGGTGGCTAACGTAAAGGAACCAACGTCTTGTTAAATGAATCGCGAGGCAAGGAATTTGACATGATACTTGGAAAGATAAAACATGAACAGAAGAACGGGAAATTTTTATGTCAGGATTTCCTTAAGAGCAGGTGTTTTGAAAGCAGTATTCAGATAATTAGTGAAAACTGCGTTTTATGGGAGAACATAAGTCGTTGTTTGATGGAACATTTCAGTCGTATTGAACAGGTTGCAGAACTGAAGTCGGATAAGTGGAGGTGACATGGAACTAGTAGGACTTTCGAGGCCAAAAATGTAATAAGGGGTGACATATCAAAGACAGAGTTAGCCAGAAGTTGTTTGGTAAACGGTGATAATGATGATATTCTTGCAGACTGAAATACAGCTGAGCCAAAAGTACTTAAGTCTAGAACTTTGTAATCGGGATTGCTGTTGGGAAATTTGGAAAGGTACTTATCAGATTCCGAAAGAAAACTGATCCGTTCAGGAGGAAATACATTTCGTACTAGCAGTGAGATCCAGACTTTTTAGTTATAATTCGAACAAGGAAGAATTGCTGTATTAGTGGAAGGAATCAATTATTATACGTACGTATTTATAAAAATGGGTACATTATAATTTTTATTTGTTTACGTTGCTCCAAAGAAACCGCCCAATTTTGAGACCCCGCGCAGTATAATGCAAGAGGAGTTTTTCTTTTACAGTAGGAAGTTGTTAGCCCCGAGTCAGTCTCCTCCATCTGCAACCTGAAGACGACCCATGCCGTGGCGAAGAGGGACTCAGCATGAAACAGTTACGAATACTGTTTGTTAAGAGTGTGTAAAGAACGCCTGAAGCTCAGGCTCGAGGCTGCTCTGTTAATATAAATCTTCTTTTAAGATTAACGCCACACGTAGACGAAATTATAAGTAATCATAATTGTGGGTTTCTACGTAATCGATCAGCTACTGATCGGATATTCTGCAGTTGCAAAAAATGATGTCTTGGAAACCTGAAGAAATGGGTCCACTCGGAAGACCTATACTTAGATGGGAAGGATAATATTAAAATGGATGTTAGGAAAAATTGGTTGTTTTGGGGACTTGAGTTGGATTTATCTGGCTCGGGATAGGAACATATGGCGGGCTTTTGTGAGTACGGTAATGAACCTTTGTAATCCATAAAATTTGTAGGTTCTCAAGAAGGACATTCTCCATGGTGTTAGAAGGAGATTGTCACGATAATGTGTGGACCTGATAGATACGAATTGAGAAACTTATACTCTTCGTCTGACAGGCCTTACGTTAGTTTTATCCTTGATGAACAGAATGTTTAAGGTTAGTTGTAGGTACTTGCAGTTGGGATGGGTTGAGGAAAGGTCTCAGTACAGAATCATGATGGCGGACCTCACAGGAATCAAAGAAGTTTAGACGAAAATCTCGTTAATATTGAATAGAAGCTCAGTATTTCAGTACCGGTGAAGTTAGTCAACCAGCCAGGCCTGAGTTTTTCGGTCATTCGGCAAGTCATTCAGTCAATGTAGACAAACAAGCAGTTACTTAGTCAGTTAGTTTGTTACTTTGGTCCAGATGAACCGTACAAATTACAGACTGATTTTTCACAGTAAACTTAAGAATCCCTGTATGTGCTAAACATAATGAAGTTATCAGAATAAGACAATCTGGTTCCATAAACACACTTGAAAGTATCAATAAGAATTTGTCTTTTTACAGAATTGGATTAGGATTTTTAGACTCCGTCTATGTCCGTAATTTAAATGCATACCAATTCCGAAACGCACAGGATTTTTACCTCTCCCGTGTCTGAACTTATCTTATTTCAAGACCGCATTTATTAACCTAAAACCATAAATTGCATTTCAAGCGATATAACTGGAGATGAACGGAGAGTCTGCCTTCAGTTGACAATAAATTTCAGAAGGAAAAGCTACGGCTGAGACCCCTTAGGTCAGGTTGTTCCAATGTCGACCATTCTGGGTGGTCTAAGATAGTGAGATTATTAGGAGATCGTTCGTTAATGTCTATTATTCTCTTAAGTTCATAAAATT